CATCCAGCCCACTGAATTTTTTTAGGTAGAAAAAAAATTGATGTAAAAAAAAAAAAAATTGAATGTGTAATTTTTTTTTTTTTTTTACGTATTAACCCGGCCTGTAATCCGGTCCTGGATCCGTCCCTGGAATAGATGGTGAAACTAGTTAAAGTATATTTACTTGCTTGTTTATGCTCGAGATTGATTATAGAGCCTTGTGTTACAAATGTTCGCCTATGTCATCTTGAGTTCGCACATGATTTGGTTGGCCTTGAAAATGTTCGCTGGCGGACTGCTACTAATTCTTTGCAAAATATTTACCAATAACAATGTTTTAACGATTATATATTAATTGACGTCGAACTTTGTTGTTATTTTGAATTGCTTGTCATTAACTCAGCCAGATTATGCATAGTTTGTGGATGTGTGTTGAAACTGAGAAGTAAAATACCGCAATATTGTGCACTTGCATGTTTTGCGAAACAAATTTTGACGTTGTTGCTGGGACTGTTTGCTATTATTATTGATTTTGTTTAGTTCTATCCTTTATTTGAATCATTTTTTTGCTCTTTCAAGTTTCGCCCATCCAATGCATGACACGATGGAACCACCTTCAAATTTAGTCCTTGCTAATCCAAAGATCGAACGTACATTCAATCACAGACTATAGGTGAAGTAAGAGAACATCAACAAGCAATAGATCACGATGGCCCCTTTGTCGAATAATCATGGTTCCACCTGAAGCTAATAATCATTCCAATATTTCAACTCTCGCTTTAGGATGGAATAATTTCCAGTTGAGGTCAGATGTGATTGGAATGATGAAAAACATACCTGAGTTCCATGGGAATTTACACAAAGAAATTTATGTTCACATCTCAGATTTTCTAGAACTGTGCGAATTTGCCACTTATGCAAGTGCTCCTAATGAGATGCTATCAAAATGAGGCTTTTTACACATACTGAGATGATCAACAAGAGATTGGACGACATCTCAACATCTGATGATCATCACTACATGGGAGGATCTTGATCTAAAACTATTGCAAGACATTACCAATTTTGCACAATTTGAAGGATAAGCTATCTATTATGCTTGGGATAGATACAAGAGATTGCTCAAAAAGTGCCGAACACATGGCTTCAAGAAGCGGTCACAAGTTAAGCACTTCTATGCTGTGTGGACTCCTAAAAATTGGTTGCAACAATTGGCTCAATTACAACAAAATCAACGATGCTATTGAATTTTTTTAAAAGACCGATCAATGTGCTATTTTTCGTAAGTGTGTCATGCACAAGAAGGTTGCAGGAGTTTATGAGGTCGATGCATTCTCGGCCCTTCCCGCACAGATGATTGCATTAACCGAGAAAGTAGAAGTCATTGCCTCAAAATATTTAGCCAATGTAGTCCTACACTCAGCCCTTATTAGACTCCCATTATCTAAAAATTCATTTTTTCTTAAACTCATTATTCCGATAAAATAATTTTACACGTAAATTGAAATCTTTGTTTATATTTTTTAACCATGCATTCTAAAACTCTTTTTTTTTTGAGAAAAATGGGGCCAAACACACATAATTGACCTATCTATTGAACATGCTAGCTATGGGGCCAAACACACATAATTGAATATATTCAATGAAAATTGTGGTGAAAATCATAGCATGGTTAGATGCCTGACAACCTATATAATTGACCTATCTATTGAACATGCTAGCTATGTGCAAAATATCCTCGTTAGCGGACCCCTTTCTGCCACACATAATCCTGGCGGGATAAACCACTCGAAGTTCTCTTGGGGTGATAATCACAGTGATGTGTTAAAGTACCATCGGGTTCCAAACAGTAGGAAAAGAAGTTGTCTATCGAGATATAACAAAGATTTGTGCAAAAGAGTAACACGTTCTTTTAGAATATTGAAAATAAAATTCAACATTAGCAAGCTCCAACTTAAAATCTTTAAAGTATGCGGGAAAATTGGATATGTTGATTCACAAAAAACCTTTCCGATCAACGATGAACAAATTCGAAATGAATAGGTACAAGCTATATATTACTACTTAAAGTGGTGTTCAATTGTCAAGACCATCAATTGAGGTCGAAGTCGGACTATACGAAACGTTATATGAAAACATTATAATGACATAACAGAGAAACTGCTTCGTCCTAACAACAGCACTGACAAACCAACTAACCAGGATGATGACATAATGGCTTAGACACAAGTCTAAGGCCGTTGTTGCCATCATGACTGTCGCTGCCGAACTCACTGAACTTCAAATTTCCTCAAATGGGAATAACACATAGCCCTATAGGACCGATACTATGCCAAAGCAAACTAGGCAATTGCCTAGGGTCTCAAAACTTATGGGCCTCAAGAACTAAAAGGCTATACAAGGCCCAACTAAATTACTCATTATAAATTACTAAAATAGATGGATTAATTTCTTAAAAAATCATTCAATTATAGTTTTCTTTGGCTGATTCTAATTTAGTTATACTTATCTAAAATATTTTTTTTTCTCGATCTTAATTTATATGATTAATTATGAACTATTGAACGAGCTCAATATTGTTACGGCCATATGGTTTAATTTGGAAACTAATATTATCCATCAACTAGTTTACTTTAATGTGCTATAACTTGAACTTGGTTTATCCAAAATTAATTTTTTCTCGAGTCCGTAATGTACCATTTAAAATGTTTTTCGAAACGAGCCCAACATAGAGAGTAATTATCGATCATACAGTAAATACACATTTGACCCAAATATGTTATTGACCTTGAAACTTATTTTCACTTTAGTCCCCTAGGATCTCAAAATCGCTACCCAAATCAAAATCATTAGAATGTGGTGGTCTTTCTCATCACTAAAAATCTTTACTCGTCATGTTATCATCAAAAGGTATATCTTTATCACTATTTATAATTTGGCCTCTAAATTTTATACTTTTTTGCATTTATGGCCCAATCTCGGGTTTAAGCTTTGAAAGTCACTCTTCTTCTTGCGCGTAATCCTTATAGTATTCTTAGAACTTCAAATTATGTTAATTAAAACTTTCTCCATGATTTACACGTTAGTTTTAAAACTTTCTAGAATTCGCTAAATCGCACATTACTTATATTTTTCCAATTAGTAATTCATGAAAACTATTTACACTTTGATAATATTTTATCCACGAATGGAAAATTTTGCTAAAAATTATGCTACCCTAATTTCTTGAGTTCTCAGAGATGATTTATTTTGCTACTCTATCTTTTGGGTTTTATGAAGTCTTCATAATATAAATATGTTGTTTATTTATCTACGTTTGTTAAAAAAAATAAAAAATGCTTGACATGACTAGAGCAGCAAATTTGAGTTCATTAGCCTATATAAAGGGATAAAGGGTGAATGGGAAGAGGTTTCGAACGGAGATTTTCTCATAAAAATTTCAATATTATAGTACTTTTATTTAGTTCAAATACATAGAAGTTGATCAAAAAGTGCCATTCGATTTTTTACAATAAAAAATAATTAAATTCTATCGTGATTGTCACTTGATGCAGATCTCTCTCTCTCTCTCTCTCTCTCTCTCTCTCTCTCATGTTAAAAAGAAGGATCAGGTACATTAACTTGGCAGATCTGGTGTCTACTTAGTTTAGATTCTTGGTTCTTAATTCTGAAGACAATCTCAGTCCTCCAGGTAGATACTTGAATAAACTTGAAATCATTAGTGAATAATTTGAAAAGCAGGTTTAATTTCTTTTATTTCTATCCGTCCTCTCACAAATAAAATGATATCAAATGATCGATACACCACCAAGGACATTAAACCCCAAAAGACGAATATTGCGGTGTTCTTAGAGGCAGATCAAACAAGAACTTGATGAGAGTAATCCACTTATGAAATAAAGAGCTCTACTACGAGATCACACTAAGGACAGCAAAGCATTGAGACATAAAATGGCAAGAAATAGAGGGATTTTAGACTGAATTCTATAATATATTACATCTTCTCCACATATGGCATTTCTGCAAGCTTAGGATCCTCATTTGAATCTAGTTACATTGAGAAAATTAAGAGAACTTTGTTAATGTGAAAAACTTTAGGTTTCGAATGAATCCCCTGATCCATTTCTCACAGAAGGGATATAAGCACAAGGAGAAGAGCACTCTTTCACCTGAAAAGCATAATTTCCCCAAAAAACAGATTTTTAGCTACTTTTAAGCATGGCCAAACTAGATCTAGTCAAGAATCTCCTTGTTTCTTCCATTTGACAAGCATGGTAATGCATCGCTTGACGATATAAAGTTTAGACTTCTGTTCCTTGGCCAAGTTGCTGCATTTGCGCGTAAACTCACCACACCTTTGCGACGAACTTCGTGGCAGGGATGATGACTTGTTTGAAGAAGTGCTGCTACTCCTCTGTGAAGAACTCCTTGATAGATTGAAAGAATTCTTCTTTGTTAAACTCCTCAGAAGTGGAGATTTTTTTGAGCTCTTCTGGGAAACACTCCTTGACAGAGAGGTATTCTTATCATCTTTTGATAATTTCCATTTCTCATCCATATACTCCATGACTATGTTACTCGCTATAACTTTTGCACCTCTCTCTTGTGTGTTACTGTGTGTTGTGTGTGCGAGAGAAAGAGTTTGAGTGGTTGATGAGGCTGGAGTGGCCAGATATGAGAAGGGCCATTGGTAGTATTTATAGTAGTTTAGGGACAATGGTGGGGGAGGAGTTTGCAAGTGACGACTGCTTTTTTGCAGGAATCACGTGTATGCTTAGGCAAACTGTCTGCTCATTTAGCTCATTTTGATTCTATATCACAGTAGATACTTTTTACTGCTGATTTTGGCCCTTCCCCCATTGGGAATTTTCTAAATTTTATATAACGGTGAATACAAGAATGCTAAGATTAATGCGTAGTCACACTAAGCTAGTGTTGGCAATGGGCCCAGTCGAACTAGCTCGGTTTATGTACCCATGAGCTTAGCACGTCAAAGGACGAGCCACACAAGCTCAATTTTTTTTAAGCTATTGATCTCCTGGGCTCGTGAACTTTGAGCTTGAGCTAGTCCCGAAATGAGCTTCGACAAGTCGAGCCGACGAGCTATTCGGCCATTTTGCCACCTCTACACTAAGCCCTTGTTTGAGCTCCATTTTTGTAAAAGTGCATATTTTTTTCTTATTTTTAATCACACACTTTTCAATAAAATAATATCAAAGTTTTCCTTATTTTTTAATCATATATTCTTTAAAAAATCACTACTTCAAAATACATTTTCCTGAAAAACACATTAAAATGGAGCCCAAACAAAAGCTAATTTTTAATCGAGTCCAAACAGGGGCTAAAATGGAAGTGAAGATGGCAATGATTGATAATAAACATGACTTAGAACCAAGCATTGCACTTGAACAGTTGAGCGGCTGTCGGCCAACTTTCGTGCTCATATATATTTATTCTTGGTGAATAGTTTGTTAGAAGTCAGTCTTGCTTGGTAAGATGGATTTAGACGAAAAAACATAAAAGAGATAATTTTTGGTACCTTTTATAAAAGATTATTCACCTTTAAGGATTAACGGAACACGAGAAAAAGTAATTGAAGAGTTTTTTTGAAAATCCTAGAAATTCTTAGGTATCGATTAGACCTAAAGTTCTTGTTTACAAGAATAATGCAAGTTAAATAGAACAAGTTAAAAGAGGAAGACGTAAATGTGAGGTATCTAGTTACACTCAATTTTCCACGAGATGTAAATATTGTAATTTAAAAAAATGATTCATATGGTGGATTCGAGATTTGTGGAGAATGTAGTTATTTATGATTTTTACATTGCCTTCCGTAATTTTGTGATTCCCAAACCTGTTTTTAGAGATCCATCATCTTTTATGGAGATGCGGCTAGTACTGTATGGCGCTCCATGAATTGACCATATTGTTTGGCATATAAAATACTATTTTATTATTTTTAAAATTGGGAAATTCACACATACACATGAGGATTGTCTGAGTAGATGGGAAATGTGAAAATAGGATTTGAAATTTGAATGACAATCAAAGGGTTGTATTGAAATTCGATATTTCATTTGGACAAGAATGAGAGGTCGGTGCTCATTATACCATTAATCACTGACTTCTACTACATGTTGCCCGCTTCATACAAGATGCACATTAGATGCTAGAATCTCATAACATCTCGAGACGTTGAGCAACTCATATTCTTACTAGACCTAGAGCTCTTCATTATCTAGTTTCAAGAAGAAAACAAAAAGACGATCTTGACCTGTATTGGGTCCGGAAGCAAGGCACACAGACCGTGACTACATGTCATATTGAGCTGTACCTATTTAATCTTACTTAACAGATAGCCCTTTGTATGATTTTACAACATGGTTCTCTTTTCATTTAATTGGATAGTAAATTGTTTGGTACATTTAGTGTTCGATCTAACTCTGCAGTTCTTGAGTCTCGCATTGGTGCTTTACATTCTCTATTTTCAAATAATAAATATGAGATGGAATCGACTCATGCGGGTTAGTAGCCAGGCATTTGAATGGTTAATTTTACTTGGTCCAATTGAAAGTTCAAGTTGTGCTAAGTTACTTTAAACACATTTAGGTCAGATACTTGATTGTCTTCACACCTCTAAGCATATTTAACCTAACTTGATAGACATGACCTTTTTTGATTTTACATCATGGTTCTCTTTTGTTTTGTCGAATAGTGCAAAATCTGGTATGTTGTATTGTTCAGCCTAACTCTAGCCCGATGGTACTAAGCACCACCAATCTATGTAATATTGAGGTTCTCCGCCTTCAATTGATTGGTTAATCTAAGTTCTAAAAGTGAAATGTCAATAAATTCTAAATATTTATCTAATAATCCACCAAAACATATCAATTAATTGGTTAATCTAAGTTCTAAAATTGGTCAAAAAAAAAAAAAATTTGTCACATGGTTTTACTTATTTAAGTATTAAGAATATAACGAGTCATGTGAAATTTAGAATATAAGCATTTGAAGGCCCACATGCAAACATGTGATTGTGTACACGCAGTTGAGTGTGAGATTCATCAAATTTTCATAGTACAAACACACACGACATGGACAGGTCAAAGTTCAAACTCTATTGTATTAATTAATATTATGATGATTTTGTGGTCAAAACTTTTTGTTGACCATAGTTTGAATTTTTTTGGATTTATTTATTTATCGTGTTTAAAATGAGAATATATTTTGACTGTTTGTAGCATGGGACCCACACCTTAAAAATCTCTTTTCAGTCTTGATGATGCCCAATAACCAATATTGTTTCAACAAAAGTGTTTTAATACTTTAGTTGTTATGGAAACTTTATATTAAGCATGAACTTGCCCTTCCGCGTAACATTTGTATACTTACTTTACGTACAACACATTTGTTACTTAGCAATTTCTTGTCGTAATACGAATCAGTTAGAAGAGAAAATTGTGAGTCAATTGTAAAAAATGAAGAAATAAGAAGGATCTACGAAAACACAAGTAATTTTTAGCTCGTGTCAGATTTACACGAATGAATACATTTCGGAAGCATTTTTGGATTCTGCATATTTTTGTCGGGTGACTGCATCATCAAACTTTCAGGGCCAAATTCTATCGTTCGAGATTTCGTTTTAACGTTTTTTCTATTTTTAGTTAGTTTGAGGATATTTTTCGTATTTTTTTAGTTTTATTCATATTTGTTTATAGAATTAGGATTTCAATTTGATTATGATTTATTTTGAATCATTATATATGTGTTTAAGGATTTGAAAACCCCACATTCGTTTTATATAAATAATATATCATTTTTTTTTATTTGGTAGATTTCAATAAGTGTCACATCTGTTCAAGCGAAATTAAATCAACACCCGTTTGTATGTTACGAACAAGATCTTTTTATTATTATTCACGTTTTCCTCTCATTTAGATTTTAGACTTATTCTATTTATTTGGTATATTTCTTTCTTTCTAACTTTTTATTTATCGGTATTTGTTTTAGTTTGGTTGCTTTTTCACTTCTGTTTTATCAAGGCTTGTATTGAACTAACAAACCAAAGCAAAATAGTTCATGGAGTTAATTATGTCCTTGAAAATGGAAATTAAAGTACGATAATTTAGCAATTTGATAAATTACTTGCCNTTTCAATTTTGTGTTTTGAGTTTTGAATTCATTTTGTGTTTTGTATTTTGAGTGTCTGTTTTGAAGTTTCTGAAAACGCGTTCTTTTTGTTATTCTGAGAAACTGTTTTTCAAAACATGAAAATAGAAAATGCGTTTACTTTGAAATTTTGAGAATATATTTTTTAATAATATTTTATTCAAAAAATCTGATTATTTTAACTTTTGGTCCAAAACAAGTATCTTATTACCTCATTTTTCATCTAAATAGATTCGGACGTCCTAAAAGTAAATAGCACACACAAACTTTTTGTCTCACACATTTTAAAAAAGTTACATGCACTTCTCATAAACACTGCTTTAATTTATTAACCCGACATTTCTATTAATTTATAAACATTGCTTTAATTTAGTTGGACGGATAAGTTATTTGCTTGTTGAGATATTGCATTGTTGTTCCCAATGGTCTAGATTACACCCACCATTTTCCTTCTCGTCAAATCACCTAAAAAGATTTGAAAAAATAAAAAACTATTCACAATAAAGTTAAATTAATCATTCAACCCAAATTTCACAACAACACAACCTGTATCCCCTTGCTATTGCAGCAGAAAAATTACCATGGCATAATACTTAGTTTGTCAAAGTTTTCCAAGATTAATAGAATGCAAGAATGCCTCAGCGACAACACATTGAATGCCTCCGATAACTCAAACATGAGAGAGACATTCTCCACAGAAATGTCCTTGAGAAGACACAAAGAAATCATTGGAACACCAAATAAGATACAATGGAAAATACATCTGTCTTTTATTTTTATATTTGGGAAATACCTGTGCAATGGCATATTCACACAGGCGCTTAAGCCCCTCCAAAAGATACTGATCGGCAGCTTTCAGAAGATCTTGTGCAATATCCAAAGTGACATCAACAGAACCTGTGTATATGTACCTGCAAGCACAAAATAATTTAGAATTAGCATATTTCATGAGAAGAATTGCATTATAGATGCAGAGTTGGAAGGAATCTTGAAATCAATTCACCTCATCATCAACTCAAAAACATCCCATCTAATGTTCGGAATTTCTATGTTCTTTGCTTCTCTTTCCTGCTAAAAAGTCCAAAGGATTTTAGAGAACTTATAGACCAATTAAGCACAAGAATGTAACAAATCAAGTCTCTGCAATTCAAAAGATCATAGACTGGTTCTGTAGAATTCGTGACCCTTTAAATGTGCCACGACTACTGAATTTCAAGTTTCTTTAACTTATATGTTTATTGGAAGTCAATGTTTTCTAACTGCATGTACCCTTACACATTCCAGGTTATCACAGATCAGCTGAAAAAACAAACCTGGACAAAACCATTCAACCAGAAAGAAGCTGTAATTGACACCTTTTTTCAATATATTTTTTTGTATCCCAAGCCATAGAAAGGTCTGGGAGCACAGACACCCAGATCAGAGCAAATTCCACATTCTTTTTAAAGCCATATCTTCTCTAAATCCCAGCCTACCTACCATGCCAACTAATGTCATAAAATCGAAAAGGTTGATTCGAATATCAGGACAGATGACGATGGAGAGATGTCCAAACTTGGTCGCACTCTAACCATGTGATCTGAATGAAATGAAATAGTAGTCAAAGTCTTTGGAAAAATTCAAATGGGTTTATCCAAAAAGTCGTTTGAAAGAACCAAAGTCAATGTTGGTGATATTTAATTGTGGAGGTGCAGCTGATTATCAAATATGGAGATGATTTTCATTTTTCTTCCCTCTCAAGTGCCTCTTGAAGATGGAACCAACTTCGCTTCTGTCATCTAAAAGCTAGTATAGTCAAATTTCTAATTGTGATATATCCATAATTTCTATTTTAATTAGATTAAAATCCCTCCCAAACAAGCTCACAGTCATGTAATCAAACCAGAAGTCAATGTATCTGTTACCACAAAACTCAAATAGGTAGAAACAGTACCTGAACAATAAATTCGCCATCTTGAAGTTTCTGAACAC